GTTACAAATTGAACATAATTAAAGCATAGTGATTAATCACAAAAACAATATGTAATTATATATGTGTTTTCCGATGGTCTTAGGCGACCCTGTGAAAGGGTCGTTCGACCCCCAAAGGGGTCGCGACCCACATGTTGAGAACCGCTGTTCTAGAAGATCCAGTCGCAAAAAACCAGGGCTTTTTGCAGTGATCATTTACAATTTAAAATCTTTATTTGTTTGTTTTTTCTTTTTTTTCCAGTTGAAAATCTTTCTATAGAATGAACTATTAGTCTTTTTACATTGGTTCTTTGAACCTCTAGGAGGACTTCTTTCTTTTGAAAGCCACCTTGATTACTCAACTAATCACTGTATTATTAGATTATTTGGGGAAGAGATCTACCCCCTTGGACTCCACCTTAGACTTCATGCTCCACAGAGGGCCGCCACTGACCAACAGCAAGAGCACCCTGGACCCCTGCCCACCTCAATACAAGTTCTCAATGGACTTTCTACTTTTAGCCTGGGACCCACTTCAGCCTGACATATCACCTGGGGGCCCTTTTCATCTGGGGAGTTCTGTGGTTTAGTGGGGCTTCTGATAAGGACCAGGCTTCCCTGGACACCCTGGACACTGCAGATTGAGAGCAAGATCCCGGGGAGGCCCAGGGCCTGAGCACAGCTGAGCTCCTCCAGGGTAAGGACAGGCGCTGCGCCCCGGAGCGGGAGGTGGAGGCATTAGAACAGCAGGCGCAGAGTGGTGCAGGACGCAGGCCGAGGTCCCTGCTCTGGAGAGCTTTTGTGGGCAGGTCCAGGGGCTCCTAGAAGCTTTTGCTGTCCAGGCAACAAGCCTAAATGGGCAGCAGTGAAGCCCTGGCAGATGCCCACCCCAGGACAGGACAGAGAATGTGGGTCACTTCCTGGGTTGGAGGTGGTGTGAACCAGCAAGACGTGGTCTTCACGCACATCTCTGTTGCTCACGCTTAAACCTCGTGATTTTGATTATTCCTGTCACAGGAAATTATTACACCATAAATTAAATCCCCATTTTGATTTTTTGAAGATACACTATTATGGGTTTAACTACATTTTTCTGTCATATATACAGAATTGGAAATGTTTTCATGTCGACTATCAGTATTTGTACAACAACAAAAAATCCATTAAATAATCTGATAATTTCCCTTTCAGTTTGGCTAATAAAAATGCAGGAAGGGGTTAGATATTTACAGAAAATACTTCAAGTAATTGGGAACAATTGGTGCTTTCACCTTTTCACACTTTCCCTTAGCAGAGCAGGTAATAAAACCCTAAGTAATTACAGCCAAATAGCCTTCCTGCTGTGCCATTCTGCGCACATAAATCACGAGCTGTCAATATTTCATTAGTCACCTGGGCCAAATAGCAGTAATATATTTACAAAGTCTATATAAGTGTTAATAAAATATGAACAAGCAAATCTGAAAGGTTTCTCTCTGGAATAGGGTGCATTTTTGTAAAAGGCAATATGAATTCCAACCGAGATTAAAGAATTTATTTCTTGCCACCCCCCCACCTCTGGCAGAGAGGAGAGATTCACATGTTTTCTTGTGACTGGGCAGCATGACCTCCCAGATGCTGCTAGGAAGCGTATTTCTTTATGGTTCAGAACCTGGTAGATTCTTGGGAGATTCACCTGTGTCTAGTCATCAGGGGACAGACAAGACCTGGGACAGTCACTACCGGACTAGGTGGCCTTAAGCAAGCTTGTAGAGATTTCTTCTAGGAAATGAGCATGCAGATTTTCTCATCAAAAACACCAAAACTCTATCCACTATTCTGGGACGATAGAAGCCTTTCTTTTGCTGATATTATTGGTCTGTTTATTATTTCTAGAGAATGTCTCTACTCACAAATGAATTACTTATGCCTTTGTCCCAGCTAAAGTGGATATATTCCTGGTCCCCTTTATCATATAAAATGTAAGGCGAAATTTATTTCTAGAGTGCCGCACTCCTTGTGAAATTTTTGTTCATTTCTAATGTTCTTTGTTTTTCAGGTTCACAACAGCTAAATGCACTGCTCAAGACGTCCCGATTGGCACTATTTTTCAGGTTTTAATTTTTAAACGTGGCTGTCATTGATCTGGGGAAAGAATGTTCATGAAACTTTCCCTCTAAAGTTAAAAGTGCATTGAAATAGCCCTGGCTGTGTAGCTCAGTTGGTTAGAGTATTGACCTGATAAACCAAGGTTGTGGGTTTGATCCCCAATCAGGGCACATATAAGAAGCAACCAATGAATGCATAAATAAGTGGAATTGCACAAATCAACATTTCTCTCTCTCTCTCTCTCTCTCTCTCTCTCTCTCTCTCTCTCTCTCTCCAATAAATAAAAAGTTGTGGGGTTTTTTGTTTGTTTGTTTTTAAGTGCGTTGAAATCTAGAGCATATTCCTGAAACATCATCTTGTGTTCTGGCCAAACCTGTTCAGTGAGGTTTCCCTCCTCTCACTAAGATCCAGGCTGGGTGTTGACAGCCTAAGAAAGTGGGAGGGGGAAGGAGATACTGAGGAAGGACGGGCTTCCAGGACAGAAGAGTGCTGTTTTGTTCTCTCTCTTACCACTCCAGCCAAAGGCAGCTTCAGAGTACAGATCACCATCTTTTACACGGGCAGACCTGGAGACTGTACAGCTCAGAACAGCATACCAATTTAACAAATGTTTATTTAGGACTCAACATATTCCAGGCTGAGTTGTTATGTAAAGCACTCCCCACCCCCCACCCCCCACCCGTGAGAAGATCAGTGTGGAAATAAAACTTATATATCATCAATGAGAGACAACCACGGAATTATTTTAAAAGATGAGCTAAATCACGTATTGACAGAGGAGGGTACCCAAGATATATAGTTGAGGGGAAGAGTTTACAGAAGAGTATGTATACTATGGTGCCGCTTTTGTTTGTTTTTAAGGTATAAAGAATGACCAGAGCTGGATTTACTGTGGCACTAACAAAGTCTTAGGAACTCACTTGCGTAGGTCTCTTTCAAGACCCTTTGTATTCCTCTTAAAGAGGTTCTCCAAAACAGCATAAGAGTGAGATGCAAAACCTGAATCATTCCCTGCTATTTATAAACACGACCAAACATTATGACCAACCTTGGTTATCTTGGATGGCTGGAATGTGAAGGCTTTATACTTTTCCGTCACCCAGAAGAACTGCCTCCTGCTTCCTTTATGGTCTTCCCTTCCCTCACCCATAAGCCCTCACAACCCTCCCAGTGTTCCTATCTCTGAGTGAGTTAATTCATGGGCTTTGTAAACAGAAATCCATTATTCACATTTAGTAATGAGCCCTTCCAAGAAATGCATCATTAGGCTATTACATCGTGTACAGACATCATAAAGTGCACTTACACAAGCGTGGATGGCATAGCAGACTACTGTAATTGTATGTGCTATACATTTATACCACTGGTGGGGCATTAGGTTTGTTTACACCAGCATCACCACAAACACAAACACTGAGCCAGGATGTTATGATGTCACTAGACAGTAGGAATTTCCAGCTTCATTATAATTATGTGGGACCACCCTTCTATACGCGGCCTGTTGTTGACCGAAATGTCGTTATGCGGCGAATGACTGCAGTGGGTATTATCACTACCCTATGTCCCAGCCAGCACATAGGACACCCACTATAATCATTTCCCTCCAAGTTCTGTTTTTCCCAGTTTTCCTGCTGACCAGTATCATGATCTTCCATTGTACTGCCTTTACCTTAGTCTCTGTCTCTCTCCTACTCTGGTTATTTAAAAATTTTCATGTATGTGTTTCTAGAACAGAGACTTTCTTTCTGAGGAAGAAAATTCTTCAGCACAATAAATGTGTTTAAAATCTACTTAAAACTAAAGTAGCTAGTAAATCGACAAAACCAATGGCAGTGTTTCTATTTTAACTAGACTATGGTGCTTTTTTTTCATTAAGGGGACATCTTTGGTGGCTAGAGCTATTTATTGCTGTCTAAAATTGGCTTTGGGATCAGCTACATTCTCTGAAGCATCTTAACATTTTTTATTTTGTACTATAAATAAAAATGCTACATTCAGCCAACAGTTCAGTACAATTAGTAGACTTTACACTATTTTATCATCATGGAATCAGTGTATTAATTATCTGTGATTAAGCCTCATTCATATGAATTGAATGTGAAAGGAGCATAATGTAACTATACCTTGTACCAGTCCAAATTGAGTCAGCTGCATATAACTGTTGGCCACTTTCTCTTGCAAACGGGTTTTATAAATAGGCAATTTGGGGGTTGGTGTGGCAAGGAGCCCAAAATTCATTAAGGGCTCAATCTCCTTCTGGCTGTCAACTCTGTGATCTCTAAAAGCCCCTGTACTCATCATCTAACAAGACAACTGGTGCTCCAGCCATCTCGGCCATGTTTCAGGCCCAGAGGAAGAATTAGCACAGAACACTTTCTTCATAAGGACACTACTGCAGACCTACCACATGACGCTCTCACTCACATCTCTGTGGCAAGCACCTAGTCATCTGACCAAGTCATCTGCACATGAAACTAGCGAATGTCCTCTGTTAACTGGACGGCAATGCACCAACCAAAAATAGGGGATCTGTTACTTAAAGAAACCGGGGAGATTAGACTGGGGAAGGAAATTTCTATTCTCTGCCACTGTCTTAACACAAACAATAGCATGACAATTTAAAGACATAATATTGTTGGGGAGCACATGAGACTTGGTTGGAAAATTTGTAAGGAGGACATTCTGAGAAAAGGGAAGTGTGCAGAAGGCCACCTGCCCTGTTTACCGGAATTCCGACTTAATGGAGTGCTAAATGCAGTGTCCTAACTATTCCTGGACCTTTCCAAACAAGTCTGTGCACCTGCAGACCCCCGGGTGTTTACTGGAATCCTTATGCTTAATCTTTAGGTGTCCTTGCTTAAAGGACATTGCAGACACATGTGTCCTCCCAATATTACTCTACTGATTGTATCTAAAAGATAAACTTTATCTCAAACTGTTATTACAATAAAAGCCTAATGAGGCTGTCTGGTTCCTTTAGCCAGGCAATCCCTTAGCCCTCTTTTTCACAGCAAATGTTGGAGTAATCCATTCATCCGTCACTCAGGGTCTGCTGCTCAGCCTCGGCATAATACCTCTTTTCATAATACTCTGAATTCTGTTAAAAGGTAAAGCACATAAAAATATGATTCCATCAGTATAGTACATGGTCACAATGTAAATAGGTCCATGGTGTCAGCCATGCATGGATGCACTGCATTTGAACAGAGGTTGCTTGGAGGGATGCAGAATGTTCCGGGAGCATCACCAACCATCTGAATGATTGTCCTTGTTGTGATCTTAAAAGTGCTTAATCAGCTCTGTGAGTCTGACTGAAGAATTCAGGCTGGAACACAGAAAGAAGCAGAAGGTTAGGTCCCTGTCCCAAAAGACATTTCCATTTGGGCTGGGAAATAAGTGAAATAAATCTTTCAATTGTTTGTATATTCTCTCTACAAGAGCTCTTGGTATAATGATAGGAGACAATTCACAAGTCAGTGTGAGATATATATATGTTTCTCAAATCAAAGGTACAGACCATAAGTTCCAGCAATGAGGCAGTCACCTGAGCGAAACGAAAGAAAGAAAAGGTTTGGAAAAGCGCCAGGACCGGTTTGGCTCAGTGGATAGAGCGTCGGCCTGCGGACTCAGGGGTCCCGGGTTCGATTCTGGTCAAGGGCATGTACCTTGGTTGCGGGCACATCCCTAGTGGGGGACGTGCAGGAGGCAGCTGATCGGTGTTTCTCTCTCATCGATGTTTCTAACTTTCTATCCCTCTCCTTTCCTCTCTGTAGAAAATCAATAAAACATATTTAAAAAAAAAAGGTTTGGAAAAGAAGGGGTTAGGAAATCCAGACTGTAGTAACAAGTACTCCCTGGGACCAATATTCTCTGATGCCCACACTTGGTTGCAGAATCCATGTCATCCTACCAACTTATCAGAATTGTTTGCCCTCTCCAGTTTTGCTAAGTGGTTAGACTCTAACCATTAGAGTGTCAGCCTGGGCACTGAAGGGTCATGAGTTTGATTCTCAGTCAAGGGCAGGGACCTGGGTTGCAGGTTTGCTCCCCAGCCCTGGTCAGGGCACATGCAGGAGGCAACCAATCAATGTGTCTCTCTCACATCAATGTTTCTCTCTTTCTCTCTCTTTCTCCTCCTCCCTCCCTTCCATTCTCTGTAAGAATCAATGGAAAAAATATCCTTGGGTGAAGATTCACACACACACACACACACACACACACACACACACACACACACAAGAATTGCTACCTTAGAATTGCTGGGAGATCTTTTAACTCTAGAGACTGGAGTTGGTTTGGGATGGGTCCCAGGATACTTTAAAGTTCCCAGCTGATTCTGATATGTAGGCAGGCTGCACATCACTGGCCCTAGGGCAGTGGGTCTCACACTGCAGCAGGCATCAGCATTGTCTACAGAAGGTGTCATTGCTCTGCCGTCTGGTCTCCACAGCCTTGTCCAAGGACATGGCCTGGTTGCCCCAGTAAACTCACTGTGGCTGCTGATTTTATCATCTGTGGTTCTCACCCTTAGGGCAGTGCTCTTCAACCTTTACTGGGCATAGGGACCACCTGGAGATCTTGTGAAAATGCAGGTTCTGGGTGGTTGCCAGAGGCCAGGAGGAGAGGAATTGTTTAGAGCAGTGGTTCTCAACCTTGGCTGCACATTAGAATCACCTGGGAATCTTTTTAAAATCCTGATTTCTGGGCCCCATCCTCCGGAAATTCTGTTTCTTTGTTGTGGGGTGTATTTTAGACGATGGTTTAAAAATGCAGAGTCAGTGGGTGTGGGATGGACACAGAGAATAGTGTGGTGAAAGCCTGGGAGGGGGTGGATGGGGGTCAATGGGGGGAAAAAGAGGACATCTGTAATACTTCCAACAAAAAAGATAAATTTTTAAAAAGAATTAAAAAACTATAAAAGAAGTATTATAGTTTGTTTTTTAAAGTTATTAATGTACCCAAAGTGAAGTTTGGGTAAGTTAAAGGTCATTTTCCCCCTCCCCAGACAAGGCTACTGGCTATTGCTGAAAGTGCTAATAATGACAATAAGCAGGTGTTAATTCAGCTCTTCATACCTGCCTCGCCCTTGCCAAGCACCGTGTCCCCCTCTTTCAGGCTTTAACTCTGTGCACAGCTCCTTCCAGCTTCCTCTGGGCTCTGCCAAACCCTGGACTCTGCCAACCCCCGCCCCCCCCCCCCCCTCGGGTGTTGGACGCCTCGCAGGCTTCCTGGCAGCCAGTCTCCGTGGGACCATGAGGTCAGGGTGGCCTGATTCCTGTTTGCCCAAACACAGGAGAGCACAGTGTTGTTTCAACCTGTTTTAAACTGCTGATATTAGAGAGTTGGACTCTCTCCATACACACACACACACACACACACACACACACACACACACACTGCAACCCAACCCAGTTATTTGGTCCTCAGAGGGTTACTGTCACGGGGAAGGGCCTTTGCTCCATTTGAATCACAGTGTTTGATCTGGGACAGATCTTATATTCAAGATCTTTTTCTTCGGATGTGGCATGTATAAAAATGCAGTGGACCATTAGTAAGCAAAAAAAAACAAAACAAAAACACACAATCAAATCTTGCCATTTTCAACAACATAGATGGGCCTAGAAGGTATTATGCTAGTGAAATAATTCAGGCAGAGAATAACAAATACCATGATTTCACTTATATGTTTGGTCAAAAAACAAAACAAACAAACAAGCAAAACAGAAACTTCATATATAAAGAGAACAAACAAAACAGAAACAGCCTCATAGGTAGAGAACAAACTGATGGTTGCCAGAGGGAATGCGGCTGAGGGGATGAGTGCAAAAGGTGAAGAGGAATAAGAGGTACAAACTTCCAGTTATAAAAAATAAATAAGTCACGGGGATGTAGTCAATACATCATAATAACTTTATATGGTGACAAATGGTGAATAGACTTACCATGATGATCATATCGTAGGTATATAAATGTCAAATCACTATGCTGTACACTTGAAACTCATATAAACTGTATGTCAATATTAATTTAAAAAAATTTTTAAATACCTAAACAGGTTAAGTAACATGGATCTGGTCATACAGCCAGTTAGTGTCAAAGCTAAAACCATAAGTCAAATCTCTTAGCCAGTGCTTTTCCATTGTTACCTCCTCTTAACTCCCCCTCAAGCCATTTGAAAAAGAAGTACCCAGAGAAATAAAATGAGTGAAGTAGAGCAAATCATTAATAATCACACTGGTTCCTTGATTAAGAATCTAAGTAAAATTCCCCTGAAACATATTATAGGGAAAGTTCCTACAGAACCATTTAGTTTGGTCAGATATTTCTTCTTTGATTCCTGTAGCCATCCCTAAAGAAATGGCCCAGAAGAAGGCAAAATTTCAATCCAGTAAGGAATCTTTTGGGCAGAGAGAACTCTTGCCAATATGAGCATTTAAGCCTCCATAATAGATGTGAAAAGCATCTACAGTTCAAGAGTCTAAGAATCTGCATATGCTTTATAAATACTAAGATAATATTTCCAGGAAACTGGAACCAAATTATGAGAAATATATCTTTGTATTTTTGTACATGCAGCACAAAATTCACTTTCCTGAATTTAACCTAAAAGCTGTATAGCAACCCATTCTTTACCCAAACCACTTTGCTCTGAATCTAAAGCAATTGAAGTAAAGATGTCTGGAGCCTCAGATGGGAAGAAATGTATCCCCTATAACCCATGTCTCTTGTCAATACTAGTAGATGATACTCACACTGGAAAAGACAGCTACTAAGTCAGGGTCTTTGTATTTCACATTCTCTCGGCCACATTCAAAAAAGAGGATTTTTAGCCATTAGGAGACATGTTCTGGAATCAGAGAAAAGTTAACCTATTTGCCTTTTGAAAAATTCTGATCGTATAGTTTTTTATACGCTGACTTGCTACCACCACCAGGATTAGGTTAGTTTTTTAATCCATTTGGACTGTGATGCATCATAGTTAAAGTTTTTATTTTTTAGGGGGCAGGGGTTGTACTGAGAAGATGTACATCATCTACAGAAGAATGTCTGTCTCAGCTACTACTATTTGGACTCAGTCCCAGGAATTCATCCTAAGAAAACATTTCCCAAGGGGAAATATGCTAATCACACAGAGATGATTGCAATCAGCTTTAGGATAGTAAAAGGGAAAGAATGAGCAACAATTAGACAGTGGTTAAATAAACTATGATAGCAATTCAGTTAGAATCTGTAACCATCAAAAATGGAACATAGAAAAGCATATAAGAAGCAATCCATGTGAGTATTATACCTCGTAATTAGACACTTTAGAGTTTATAAGTTGTTTCTGCATCACATTATCTCATTGGCTCTTCACAGCAACTCTATGAAACAGAAGTCGTTCTAGCCATTTGCTGATAAGAAAACCAACTCATGGAGAAGTGGTTTTCTGTGGTCACTCATGAAATATTCAACTCATTGACCACAACAATTTAAAAACCATAGGTACAAAGATCAAGACTGGAAAGACCATAACAAGTTGCAAAAGTTGCTCTGTTAAAACAAAGTGTTTTTCTTTAAAAAAAAAAAACCAAAAGTGTTTTTCTCTAGGGGTATGTGTGTATGTGTTTGTTTTTTGTTTTGTTTTCTGTAAAGCTCCTTTAAACACTGGATATCTTTATGGCTATATATCTTAATCATTGCAGCTATGTTTTCAGCTTCCTTAATTGACATAAAATCGTGAGAGAACCTATAACACAGGTTTTCTTTGTTTTCCCAGGTACACACTGGTCCTATGTGTGGTCTGCCTTCCCATACCAATAGGAAGAATGTCTGGGGTGGCCAAACGAATAGCTTTTACATCTGGCTACTGTGTCCCCATTTCCAACACTGCTATGACCACAAGGGAGCCTAGCCTCACTGAATCTTGCTTATATACCCATGTATATACCCACTAAAGTGATTCCCCTTTGCAAAGCAAGTCCTTGAGTAGTTTGTGGTAGGAAGTTTCCAGAGCTGCTTTCAGGAGAGGTGCCCTGGAGTAGCAGAGTGATTTAGTAGCGATGTAATAGAGCTTCCAGCCTGTGCTCCAGTTTCTTTGTTGTTGTTTGCTTTTAAATATATTTTTATTAATTTCAGAGATGATTTCAGAGATGAAGGGAGAGAGATAGAAACATCAATGATGAGAGAGAATCATTGATCAGCTGCCTCCTGCACACCCCACACTGAGGATCAAGCCTGCAGTCCGGGCATGTGCCCTGACCAGGAATGGAACCATGACCTCCTGGTTCATAGGTCAATGTTCAACCACTGAGCCACACAGTGGTTTAATAGGACCAATCTCCC